CACCCCACAGGGTGCCTTCTTGGCACCCCCCCAGACATGGCTGTGGGGTGCATGGGACTCACTACCACCCTCACATTCATGTGTCCAACTGACTTTGGAGGAAGCTCTACATGAAAACGGGGTCCTTACTTACATAGAGGAGCTCCACGTAAATGCATATGTATGACAGTAGAACTTCTGACATCCACTGAATGCATGGATGATGGGGGAGGCCTGGGCAGGGCTCTTCCCTAACTCCCGAGAGGGCCAGCTATTTGAAGCTGTACCTACTTACCTGGGAGCAAGCCCATTTGAACTGGCAGGACTTATTCAGAGGTTCTGAGTAGGCGTGTCTCGAATGCTAAAGTATCAATGGAAGCACACACACTATGGTCAGAAACTTGCAGGCAGTTCCAAGGAGTAGCTGTTTTTAAATTATGAAACTGTTTTGTCACTATTTTTGATTTTACAGCTTTCTCCTTGCAAGCATCATGTTCCTCCTGGCTTGCGAGATGTTGAACTTGATGCCAAACCAAGTATCAACTCTGGATGGAACTGCTGTAGTCACCTGTGATTTTCACACCTTCTCAAGCTCCCACACTGTCCTCAGCTTTGCTTTCAAACTGCTCTGTGCGGTATTATTATTTCTTTTTAAAAAATGAAAAATACATATGTGATAAAAACATCTGATGCTGCAGGTGCCACCATCTGCTCCATCTCCAGCTGCTGCGATTGCTTCTGTATATCAAACCTTTCCTGAATTTTCTTCAAAATCTCTAAAATCAACCAAGAGCATCTGATTAGCAGTGTCATCCATTTGCCATGTTTAAACAGATAAAATTCATATAGTGGGGATCTTGGGCTCTGTCCCATGAAAACAGAATTACAGAGTTGCAAAGAGGAACCTTGGAAGCCATGCTTGCTTTTTGCCTACCCTTGAACACTTTGCCCACAGAGATTGCCCTCTATTGCATGGCTTTTGGGTGGTTTACCCAACCTCTTGACACATCATTCATCTAGAAGTGTGTTCTCTGGTTTTTTAATAATAATAATAATAAGAAATAAAAATAATTTCTGCACCCAGATGACTCACATGGTTTGCCAAGAAAAGCAGAATCCTATGACTTGCATACATTATGCAAACTCATTCTATTTTGCATAATTCCCTCTTTGTTTTGCATAATTTATCATGCAATTTCTACCATTTTGCATATTTCATTCTGGTTTTGCTAAGTGTGGGGAAGAGTAAGGAACTATGCAGGCGGGGGCTGAAGCCACATCCCAGTGGCAGAACAAGTTCCCAGTGGCATTCGGAAGTTCCCATTTTCCAATCCCTAGCACCCCTAGACTGACCTGGAAAAGACTGCTGCCTGAAACCTAGACAGGCATGGCCAGTCATGCTGGCAGGTTTTGAGCTAGATGGAACAATGGCCTGACTTCTAATCACATGGCAGGACAGAGTTTAAAACAAAGATGTGCTCTCCCAGGTCAACAACTATGTTCTTTCACCAGAAACTAAAATTGTATCTATTCAGCTCTCTGGCTTCAAAGCTTTCAGCAAGCATTGCTCAAACACTTCCAAGTATCTCTTTATAACCATGAGGGCTAGAAACATGTTTTGCATAAGAAGAGAAAGTTGAAGTTCTCCAGAAGCTGAAGACTGCAACCAATACCACATTCTGTACATTTCTCTGTATTGCCTGAAGGATTTGTAGCAGACAAATATATCCTTGCACTCTTCTTATACAACCTTGGTTTTTGTCCTCTGCTATCCCATAGCTTAATCACCTCAAGAAGAACAATTTTTCTAAATTTCCTTGGGACCAAACAGCAGTCAGAAACAGAAGTGAAGCTGAAGAAGAATCCTCAGTGGTAACATGTAGCATCCAATGCAAAAAGGCACACCCTCTTCTCTCTTCTTTCCTTCCACTATGCACCAATTGGTATCAACTTCACTTTGGAGAGATAGAGAAAAAACACCCCACACACGTTGTCGCAGCAGATGCAAGGATCATTTGTAAGGCTAGCTCTTCCCCAAATTTCCATACAACTCACACAAATCAAGAGGTTTTTTCCCCCTCAGATGGAGTAATCTGCCTTTCTCATCCGGCAACTTAATACAGAGCAGGCATTGGTAGAAATATAGCAAACTCTGATAGTAATGTGCTACTGGAATCAATATCTTTATCTTCTGTGCTTCCATATAAAGTATCTCGAGACAGACCATTTAAAAGAATGCCATCAAACACAGAAAACCCAGCGCTTGCAGATCTCTGAAAGAAAGAACTCGAGATTGACTTCTTTAATGGCTGGTTGTGACATCACCGAAAATTTTCCAATACAATGAAACAAATCTTGCAGCACATTAAGCTAGAAGTGATATCTAAGACAGTGCCTGGGTTTTTGTTGGTGCCTATATATCCAAGGTCAGAGGATTTTATATCCATTGTTAGATGGCAACTGGTAATGGTTCAGAGGTAAGCATTATTTCAATGAGAAAATATGGATGATGTCAAATGAGCCATTTGGTGATTACATCAAATCAATTTGGTCCTTTGCTAAGAAATGATCATGTAATATTTTCCCAATAGGCTGATCACGATTAGAAGCACAGCCCCCACATAAACGTCCCTGCTTTAGGGGGAAGAGAAGTAATCACATTCCTGGCCCATGGTTTATGAGGGATGCTTTTATTTAACAATGTATATTTTGTCTTTTTCATTGACTTGAATATTTAATTTAAGCCACAGAGTTCTTTGCTAACCATCATCCATTTCAGGAGCATTTGATGGCTAGACTGATGGATGGGAAAGACAGTGTTATGTACTGAGTTGAGTAGGATCCAAACTGCAGCAGTCTGATTGGTCACAGAACAATAGGATTCAGAATGCAGCAGTCTGATTGGTCCTAGAACAATGCAGCAGTATGATTGGTCGGCAGGAGCCACCCAATCCAGCTCCAGATAGAAGTGAATCCACAACCTGATTGGCCTACAGGAGAATTATGGAATTAGCCAATCACGTGCAGCCCATTGTGTAAATAATGTATATAAAGCAGATACTTTGAGGGGACTTTCATTCCCTCCTCACCACCATGAGCTGAATAAAGAGCATGAAATCCACTCTCGACTCCGAGTATATTTCAGGCAGGCTTTTAACAGAAGTTGTAAACAGGGACAAGAGGAGGCATTCCACCAACTACTGTATGCATTTTCCAAATGCAACTTAGGGATTCACATCAGAGCTTACTGTATGTTGGCAATGTTTTCATTCCTATTTAATTTGCATAGGCCACATGGCATTACCATTACAAAACACCAATGCTGATGCTTCCTCGTTGTAAATTTGGGTTTACCCAATACAGGGATAATCCAAACCACTAAAGTAGGGGTCACAAATGATTTGTTTCTGTGTTTTGGGGGTGGGTGATCAATTAACAGTTTCTACTTACTGCCTACTACTTCCTCAAGTCTTTCATTTCTTTTCTGGCCATGCTCATAACTATTTCTGGTGTGCTACTGAAAAGAGGAGCATAATCTATCTATATCTGTCTATCTATCTATCTATCATCTATCTATCTATCTATCTATCTATCTATCTATCTATTGGTGCTATCTGGGGGGCCGGGGGGCCAAGGGCCCCCAAATTTTCAACAAGGGATTTTCAAAAATCCGCAGAGATCTTGCATGCACACCACATGACATGCTCAACTTAACCTTGCACTCTGCATGGCATGCTAGAGTCACTCACACATGCCCCCAGTGTGCACACATGTCAGCATCTCATGCGACATGCATGACTGATGTCTGTACAATGTGTGCACATGACACCAGCACGCTACATGGCATGTTGATGTCATTTGTGCATGTCGTTGCGTGGCGCCTGCCGCCTCACTCATGAGGGAAAGGCAGTGTCTATCTATCTATCTATCTATCTATCTATCTATCTAGCCATCCCTCGACCCACTCACCCATCTCTTTTGATCCCTCATATTTGCACAAAACCAGAGAAAGGCACAAGGAAACCACATAATAAATTTCTACACCAGATATTGTAGCAATCTGAAAAGTGATTGCTGAGAATTTACGACTGCTTTTGTTTCTTTTCCATCCCTGCTCATGACTCTTTTTTTCCAGCTCTATTAGCTCATAGTTTAAATGAATAATAGAAACTCACCGCTCCTTTCATGTCTAGAGGTTAGGCCTGGATCTGCCTCTCCTCTCGGCCTGATCTAGTTGAGGTTTGCACACACTGAAAAACTGTTCCACATGTACAAAGATCCTGTCATTCAGGTAGGATGGTCACTTGGGCTGCTTATCTTTCTTATTATCAGTTCCCTAGCTCAATTATTTAGAAGTGGGGGTGGGTACCTTGATTTATTGTTGCCTAGAGGAAAGACCTGCCAAATCAATCACTGTGGAATCTACTTGTATTTGCTGGATATTATTTAATATTATATTAAGTTATAAAAGCAGGGGATTTTCCTTGCCAGTTGGTTGTAATGTTATTGACTGCCCTGTCAACTAAATCACACCCAGGGCCAAGTTTTCAAAAGCAGCTTAAATTTATGGCTGCCATTTTGCACAGACAATTTGTAACAAAAGACAAACTCTGATTCTGCATGGAGAAATCAAGACTGCGCACCCATCAAAAGCAACAACCACACTAGCAGCACAACTTGAGAGCCCTGGCTAAAGCTGTTTGTGAAAGCTGATTGATATATAGCTTAAGCACAACACTAAGGGTGGAACTTGAATTGCAACTTACAAATTACACTCCTGTTTCTCATTCTGTGTCCCCTCAATAATGTGTATGGGACATTCAGAGCATAATGTGATGTGATGTCATAGCCATCATTTATTTCATGTACAAATCGCTTCCTATGAAGCACCTTGAAGCATTTCAGAGTCTGTCTGTAATATTTTGTCCCATATGGGACACAGAGCTGTCAACTTTTCCCTTTTTAAAAGGGAAAATCCCTTATTCCAAATAGGATTCCTTGCAAGAAAAGGGGAAAGTTGACAGCTATGGTGGGACATGGACCCATGACCTTTAGATTAAGGGTGCCATGCTCTACCAACTGAGCTACTCTCACCTATGGTATCACACCGTTGTAGAGTTTGAAGATACCCCCAAGGTTCATCTATTCCAAACCTGTGCAGATGCTGAATCACATTAAAGCATCCCTGACAGACAATTTCAAATAAGTAGATAGGAAAAAAAAATTAAAACAACTACATGCATGCAAAAAACGGCATATTCTATACAAAAACTATTCATGACAAACTCAGATACTGACTGGGATAGATAAAAACAAAAAATTCCACTGTAGCAGGTGCTAAAAAGACATTAAATAAGGCACCTGCCTTTAGTGCGGCATAGTGTGGAATGGAACTCCTGATAAGACGGTATCTACAGATTGCCGTCTCCTACAAAGCACAGTGATTGGTTCAGTGCAAAAAGATGAGACAATGTAAAGAGATGAGACCATCTTTGAGGTCGCCATCACACTGTGAATAAAGATCCATTCACTTCTTTAACTTTCCATATCCATTTCTTTCTTTGGTGGCGGCTGCTGAAAGTATACCTAGCCACTGCCGTTGATGTTTATGCAATGCTGCAACTCACCTCTCAATGGATTTTAGAGTTCTAGAAAGCAGTGTTATTCCCAAGGCATCGTTTACAAAAAGAGGAAGTTCCCTGTTTCAATCTGGAGTTAGGAATAGGGTCCCTTGCTGGGATGCTGTTTGCTTCATCAAGTTACCTGCCAGAATACTGTGAAAACAATGGAGTGTAGAGGCCAATTCATCACATGAGGCGAAATGACATTTTGAAGGCTTGGAAGGTCCTACTTTGGATTGCCCATCCTTCTCAGTTGGCTTCCTCTGTCCTTCTCCCCCTCCTCTTCACTCAGTGGTTAACAATTAACCCTCGGTTAATGCACAGGTTTGCTGACGGCGGCAGGAGGAAGTCCCCATGTTGCCATGTTCAGGAAGCTGTCCACAGTCGAAGATAACAATGCATGCCTGTTCTGTCATTGAGAAGCCAGACTGCCACCTGCCTCCACTGCCTGATGCACAACTGTTCAAAGTCTTCCTTTCAAAAGCTACTCTTTCCAAGGCGATGCGTTGTTCTAATACTTGCTGACACAATGGGCTGTGGATGGGTGGGTGGGAGTCCTTTGAAGCTCATAGAGAGTTCTGATCGCTTTTGATGTCGTTGACACACTCATTGTTAGCACTAGCGAAGAAGAATCTTGTATCCAAACTTCTTCTCCATCCCCAAATGTTGGAGCCTAATCCAAGCCAACTGGACTCTTGGACATTGGTGTTGAACAGGCAAACTTCAAGATGCTTTTTACTTCTTTGCCCCTCTATCCTTTACAAACTGACAAGAAGGTAGATGTTCTCCTTCTCACCAACCTAACTGCAACTCCACCACGGTATTCCAAATGCACTTACGCCATAGATGTGTACAATGGCTTCATATTGACAGTCATTGTGCGATGACAGCCGGTGGAGGATCCTGCTATAGGTCAGAGGGCTGAGTTATCTTTTAACTTTAAAACAACTCCTTTTAGAGATCAGGCCTCCCACAACTGTAACCCACCAATCTGAATGCAGCCCACTAAATTGAAAGCATTTGATTTTCATTATGTCCATTGTCTCAATTTAATTTACTCTTGCTTAGTACTGCACAGAATTGTTGTGAGGTTTTATTTTTGTTACAAAAAGTGCAATTTCAGAGGCAGGAAATGCTTGCTTAAAAGCCCCACCTTCCACTCTTTTCCACATTTGGGCAGCTGTTTGCAGCTGTTGCCCCCTATCTACTTTGGGTAGGAATGTTCGAGAATTCCAATGAGAGCATGAAGAGGAGCAGAAATGGTCATTGTTTGCTTACTTTTCTCATGTCAGGAATGGAAATAAATCCAGCAAATATGGTAGGTATTCACGGTTGTCCTTGCTTTCAGTCTTTCAGTAATTGATTACATTTCCCTCCTATTTGCAGTGAAATGAATGCAGTGGAACAATTTGATGACAACTTAATTTACGGAAGCTGCACAATACATTAGTAAGTTACGTAATTCTATCACAAGGAAAAGCAAGATGCATAACAGTTTTTCTTGGAAGGTGAACTGCAGCAGAATAGAAACACTGCTGCATGCAATGTATACAGGGCAGAACAGAAAGTGTTATAGTCTCTCTCGGTATATCTTCACAGCATGAACTCATCCAGTCAGGGATCACATAGTGAACATGGCAATGTGATGGATCTTGTGGTACGACATAGCCAGTCAGACTTGGCTTTGTGATCATATCACTGAAGATGAATGAATCCCCTCGTTGCCCTCACTTTGAAGGACTATGTCCTCATTACTCAGGCTCCCCAGGCTGATGTTCCCTGACTTGCTATATTATTCTGGCAGATTCATTGTCCACAGGAACTTCAAAGCAAGAGTCCATTCCCTATCCCATGGAACCAGGATGTCACTTGTAATTGGGGCATTTACAAATGGGACAGAATGGGGATGGGGATGTGCATTCAGATATGCATCCAATTGTGCATCTCATTGAAAGTAATGGAGTGTGGATGGATGACATGTTCCTTCAGATGTTCCTTCAGATGCATATTTCATCCTTCTCCCCCATGTTACTTTCAACAAGCTAATTGAGTGAATCTGCATTCCCATTCCCATACTGCCTCAACTAGCCAGCTACACAGGAATAGATCAGAGTAATGTAGTACTGGCCTCTGTGGCAAGAGGAATTCATTTCCCTTTTCCAACATCCACACAAACAATTCTGTATCCTTTTGCAGAAGGAGAAAAAAAATACCCAAAGGGAAGAGGGGGCATTTTTGTCAGAGGGAGTCTGTTTGTGTGAACTTGTCACAAAATGCCATCTCCTGCTTTTGGTTCATTACATTTTGCTGCACTGTCCGATTACCATGGCCAACTTTCCTGGAAGCCATGCCCCATGATTCCAGAGTTATGATGCCTGCTTCAGGCTAATGAACAGGGATGCAAATACACTATGTGAAAGCTATGGAGCAGGGGTCGGCAATCTAAGGCCCATGGGCCACAAACGGCCCATGGGGGTCATTTAACTGGCCCATGGACCCCCACCACCTGCTTGGTTGGCTCCCATGCGCTGTGCTAAACCGGTGCGGAGCAGAGCGGGGACCGCCTTCCGCAATGCTGGCCGGCTTCCCATTGGCTGCAGGAAGCTCCGGCAGCCAATGGGAAGCTGCACACACCTCCTCCGCACTGGAAGGAACACCAGAAATAGCATTTGCGCATGCGTGTGTGCACACTCCGGCCCACCATGGCGTCTGCGGGACCGTGAACTGGCCCAAGCTACAAAAACTTTGCTATCCCATGCTATGGAGCCTTTTTCTCTTCTCGATATGTTCTCACTGGGGTTGATCCCAATACATTTTGCTGCCTGAAGGACTAGATGCCATCTTCCCTCAATTCCACGTATAGAAGTCAATTAGACTGGCCGTTGAATCTTGCTTTCCAGTGACAATTGCACTTCCACGTCAGGCTTTTTGATGGGGTGCCGAACAGGCTGTGCACCAGCTCTGTCCTCCAATAGAGGGAAATGCTGCTCCTTAGCATATGCCACCTGAGGCAGTTGCTTCACTTTGCTTAATGGTAGGGTTAATCCCCATAGAGACCTGGCTCAAAATATACCTTACTTTCCATTCATCTCAAAGCTCTATCATGAATTCCCTGGGAATCAGTGAAATCCCTCAGGGAGAGCACACAATTCAAAGAATTTGCTTTACTAATTTTCCCCAAGCGCCCTCTTGGAGGGCTCTGACCCTAAAACCACCCCATTTCACTGACACAGCCAGATGGCATGAATCCTATAGTTCCTGACATGACAGCTATATCACTTTTACAGTGCATAATTTTAGGAGATGCAGTGAGATGATGAGAGCCTGGAGGGGGAGCTGGATGTGACACCATGATCTCTTTAGCTGCAAGTTTCTCACTTCATTTCTTAAATACCAGACTAATGACTTGCTGGATCTGCCAAAAATTACCCTCCATAAAATCCCAAGCATCTTGGCATCCCACAGTTACTGAATAACTTACCGGCACAGTTCTGTGTTAAAGTTCTTATCTGCCAGACAGGAGCAGGAGGATCACGCCAGTCCAGATTTCTACAGGGCTATTTGATTTTTTTCTTTTGCATGAATAGTCCACCCCCCAATCTTAAAAGGAGGGCATTTCATGTGTGGTTCCGCATCTTGTGCAGCTGTTCAGATTGAGCTAATCTGTAAATCATTTTCATCTGCAGGGCAGGCTAGTGGCTCTCTTGCAAAATATTAGCCAATGCTGAGTAGGAATGGATGCAGACAAATTCATGGAGGGCAAGTCTATCAAAGGCTACTAGTCATGATGGCTGTTTTCTACTCCCATTGTCTGAAGCAGTATGCCTTTGAATATTTGGTTGTTTAATTGGTGCTAATATTGACATAGTGAGGAGGAGGCTTAAACTTGTCATTAGTTTTTCACCTTTGGTTGGGAAAGTGCTGTTGCACTCAGGTTCTTCCTACAGGCTTCCCACAGGCATCTGGTTGGTCACTGTGAGTAAAGGAAGCTGGACTAGATGAGTCACTGGATCCATCAGGACTCTCCTTATGTTCTTATGCTTAGGATATGATTTATTTATATTGCCTGTATTTTTATTGTTGTTTGATGGTTGCAAATCACCTTGATACCTCACTGTAGAAGGTTATAAATACATAAAGTTGTAATAATAATAATAATAATAATAATAATAATAATAATAATGTAAGACGATTTCATTGAGTATCCAAACCCTTAAACTTCTTTGAAGTTCTAGGCACCATATTCTTAGGAGTCTTCTGTTTCACCATTCAGACTAGGGGTGGAAGACACTAGGCCCAGTCACTGTGCTTGTCTCCAAATGTGATGCCTTCATGGAAAGCCACAAGGTCTGTCTGTCAGCAAAATGAATTCAGTGACCACTAGTTAATAATTGAACTAACAGGATGAGGACACCCAGGGTCTGTGCTTCAAGAACAACAAGCCTAAGACACAAGAGTGGGAGGGAAACG